CACATCTGTAATGTTTTATCACTGGTTTTCAAACAAATTTGAATTAATCGGCTTATTGCCCAGCTCTACTAGAAAATGTAGTTATGCCGTAGAAATTGCAGTGTTATGTGGGAGCAGCCTTAATGCTTTAATCCAGTGTTTATCCTGTATATACATATACTAATATTACAAATAACTTTTTAAGGGCTGCAACTGATGATTATCTACATCACTGTATTCTGATGATTTTAAATGTTTAGTCTTTAAAATATCAAAAAATGGTAAGAAGAAGTACATTTCTCAGAGACGAGCTTAATGTGCTTGCTTTGTTTAAACAGTCCAAAATAGTTTTTCGAAAAATATAAAAACAGAGAAAATTAGCAAACATCTAATTTGAGAAGGTGGAACCAGCAAATGTTTTGTTTTGTAAAATATTAGATTATCAACATTTTTAGCGATCAACTTTCTCTGTTGCCTCAACATGACTCAAATCAATTGTCGGCACAGATTATTTTCTTTGTTTTCATTGGACTAACATACATCTTTTGGGAAAAACATTTCCCTGTACCTTTGATTGACCCCTTGACTTGACAACTCAAATCTTCTCTGACATGAATACTGTTTCTTTGAGAACCGCAGACCCTTACTCTGCCAGCCAAAAGTGATATCTTCCCATTTTGTGTCAACTCAGCCCAGGAAACAATGTCTCAGTCTGCTAAATTATGTAATATGCAGTCCTGTGGTGGATGTCAGCAGTGTTTGTCCCTCTGTTCCCTCCCCGCTGCAGGCCATCTGTGTGGGCCCGGAGAACCTGCAGGTCATGTACCCAGCCATCTTTGAACAGCTGCTACTCTTCGTGGAGTTCTCCTGCAAGCCTCCTCAGTATGGCAGAGTGGAAACCAAACACGTGGCCAATGCCAAATACAACCAGGTAGGGGGAAATGGAATTGGACGTGCAACTGCCTGGTTTTCATTTGCAATTTATTTCTTTTTACAGTTTCATTAAAACTGTGTACATTGTTCTTCATCAGCCTTCTCTCTTCAGCCATTCTTAACAAGGTCATCCCTCTTCTTTGATGTTCATGAAACACCAGCCCTCCCTACCCCTTTCAGAGTGGTCCTTAGGAAGTTCCTATTGTGGCCCTACATGAGATTCACAGGTTTCTCTGGACCCCCATTTGTAGCCTCAAGCTATTTCTCCCTCATATTCCCTCCCTGATGAGTCAGCTTGCTGTTAGCAAGCCCAGGGAAATGTTTAACCCCTTTTTAGTTCAAACACAGTTCAAACTAAACTAATTTACAAAAAACAAACAAACTTTTCCAAGAAACTTGGTGATCTTGAGCAAGATTACGTCATTTGTAAAACCGCAAACAAATCATTTTGTCTAAAGATATTAGTGTCTTGCTTACTCCTCGTTGTTCTGGAAAGCTACAAAATCCAGCAAGTGCTGTGCCTTAAGAGGAATGGTGAGAGATGTCTTGCTCTAACACTGGCAGGCTTACGGTTATGCTCAGAAATGTGAATGCTACACACTTCATGTCTCAAATCCTGACCATCAGTCAGTTAGTCCTGCATGTGGGGCCCAGACTCAGCCCTATCCTGGACATTTTTGTTGATCTGAATCTGTTTAAATTGAGGATCAAACAAAATTCCCAGCCAGACAGATGTTATGGGTGGTCTTTATTGCCTTGTTGGCTTTTATCCAGCTTTGTCAGATTGTCTCAAATGTCCTCGGTGCTAGGAGTGAGTGTTTTTTTTTCTTCTTAATCAGTCGTGGTTGTTGAATCTAATTTTGCCAACCACAGCACTGCAAATTCGATACAACTTAAACACCAGTTTAATTTCGATCTTCTCTCATTCTGTTTCTTGGGACTACTCACTGGATAACCATTTTAGATCCAGCTGTTTGCACCGGTGAGTTCTGTCATCTCCTACAGCCCCCTCTATATATTTTACTAAGCTGTGCTGAATGGTGACGACCTACCCTCTGCGGTAAATGAGATATCACACCGCATGGTAGGCTCTCACGTCTCATCTGCGTCTCTCACTCACTCCATGCTCCCACTCCTCCCCTGCCTGCCACTAACTGGTGGTTATGCCTCTGTGTGCACAGTCCCTGTGCAGATCCATTTTCAGTTGATTTTGTGTTTTTGGTGGTGTTCATATGCACACGTGTGGTTCTGTGGTATTTCTTAAAGACACACTTTGTAGCATCAAGGCATTTGTTTGGCTATAACATTTCAGCTATGGTACTCATGAGCCTAACAAAACTTGAAGCACGCTGTAACTTAAAAGTACATTATGTGTGTTATTTGTATACTTTATACAAAGTGTGCCTTTAAACTGCTTTCAATGTGTTTCTGCCATAAAAGTAGGCATAACAGTTTTTAAATTTCTTTGACAACTCCTGTTTTTTCCTCCTGTTAAATCCTCTTGCCCCTGCAGGCAGAATGGGTTGCCTTAAACTACGTGCCCTTTGCTGAGCGCTCCTTGGAGGTGATGGTGGACCTGTACCATAAAACAGCGTGCCACAAAGCTGTCATCAATGAAAAAGTTCTGCAGAACATCATCAAGGTATTTTTACCAGAATGATTTATTCATTGTTTCCATGGTTATGAAACCCTTGGTAAAATTTTGGAATTGATAGAAAAATCAATAGACTAAAAATGTACAACAAAAATGTTTGGATAAATCAATCTTTAAACATATTATTAATGTTAAAGTTTGGTTCACATGTGCATTCTCTCAAGGAGTGATGTCAGTTTTAGGCTAGAGCCAGCACTGAGGCCTTACTGAGCTCTTAGGTTTACTCTCTCAACATGACTTTCTATTGGCCACCTGTTGAGGACCAGTTATTGTTGAACCCTGTGAAATCATAAAATGTGGTGTGATGTTATGAAAAGTATATGAACAAAGTTACATAGGGCAGAAAATTCTGCACTTCTTCTTTTGGCATTAACCTTTTAGGCAAATTAACCTTCTGCTATAACGTATCAGTGATGCCAAATGATGTAAAAACAATCAACTGACTAAGGCAAAGCTTTTGCATCACAGTGTAGATTTTCTCTTAAAGCTTATATTAACAATGGCTGAAATGACTGCATGTATCTGAAAGGGGACACAAGTAGTACAAAATCTACAAAGTCATCAAAAGGCTTAACTTCTTCAACCTAACATAGTGTCTTCCATTTTTTTCCAGTTCCTGACGCCTGTGTTGCCTGGTGCAAAAATGTCTTAAAATGATTTGATGTTAACTCTATGAATTCAAGTGACATTAAAGTAGAAAAGGGATGAAGGTGAAAGACTTTTGTGGTACTTGAGTTAGTTTTGTGGATTATATCTTGAAGTCATTCTCTGTGTTTAAGTATCACAATCTATTGTTATTGCTGTCTCTTCGTTTCTTTTTTCCTTCACCCTCAAGACTTTAAGAATGCCCTTGGGTTTGAAATATGCGTGTCCATCAGAGAGCACCTGGAAGCTCGCAGTGTCATCTCTGCTCAAGGTGCTGTCTATAGGACTGCCAGTGGCACGCCAGCATGCCTCATCTGGAAAGTTCGACACTATGTGGCCAGAGCTGGCCAATGCCTTTGAAGACTTTCTTTTTACCAAAAGGTACAGATTTAGACTATCTTAAACTTGAGTATGCATGGTTTGTCAGTTCTAAGTACCAAGCTCATTGGTTGGGTGGGTTTCCTTTTACAGCACACCTCCAGATAACCTTTCCATCCAGGAATTTCAGAAGAATGAAGCCATTGATGTAGAGGTAAATACTTGCTCCTAGCATCCAGTATGTCAACATGATTTTGTCAGGTAGCCCACATCAGCATTGTTTCCTCTTCATTTTAAGGTGGTTCAGCTGATCAGCACAGAGATTTTGCCGTTTGCCAATTTCATCCCCAAAGACTTTGTTGGCCAGATCATGGCTATGCTCAATAGAGGCTCCATTCACTCACAGTCTCCCTCATTCACAGGTAAGATGTAGCTTTGGCAGCTAAACATTTTTTAATTCACCTGTATTTGGGACACTTATGGGAGAGCAGGATGGGCAAATGCTGGAATCATAATGTAACCATTAAGCCGTCCCTGTCAGACTCTTCATGTGTTGGGCAAGACAGTAAAGCCCTGTCTGTCTACTCACTGTAAATCACTCTGGAGAGTGGCATCAGCCATATAATCTAATAAGTAAATGGTTTTCTGTTTACAGAGGCAGAGATCGATGTGCGGATGAGGGAGGAGTTTTCTAAGGTGTGTTTCGAGACACTGCTGCAGTTTTCTTTCAGCAACAAGGTGTCCACTCCACAGGAGGGCTACATCTCTCGTATGGCGCTCTCCGTGCTCCTCAAGAGATCGCAGGATGTTCTCCGACGCTACGTAGAGGATGAGAGGTTGAGCGGACGCTGCCCCCTGCCCAGGTACACTCCATTATATACCTCTGAATAAATCACATGATGAACCTGTTTTGCCATAAAAACACATTTTGCATGTTTCTGGACAGATGTGCCCATCAGAAATGCAGCTCCAAACACTGGTGGTTGTTAATGCCATGATTTTACCAAAGAGACATTTTGCAATGCAAATCCAATATCCAGCCATGCATCCACCATTTTTCCTTTTCTTTTTTGTAAACAACACAAAACCACTGTACTTTTACACACTAGCAAGATGTGCAATGTTTTTTGTTTTTTTTAAATGGAAGTTAAATGATGCCCAAACAAATTGAACCATTTATACAGAACATGGCAATAGGGTGGTGGGGGGAATTCAGAAAAATCGTATATTTAGAATATACACATGACTAGCAAATGCAAGGTTTGCTATTAAATTCAGACAAAGAACATTTTAAAAAGTAAAATGTGTTAAATACAATACAAATGGAAGAAACAAGAAAATCATGGATTGCATTAGAGCATGTTAAAACAAAACCAAATATGAAAAAACAGTAAGCAATGGTCTCTCAGACATAACATCATACAAATCTGTGATGTACTCCACCAGTTTTACACATCAAAGTGTATTTTAAGGATTTGGACAGTACGACTGCATCTGTGGACAAAAGCTGAATAAAGCCTTTTGTGGCTCCAGAGGGAGCCGCATGAAATCTGATAAAATGGTGGCTGGCACTAGCAGCTTGAGGCTACGTTAGCTGCTACTAGCATAACACACCCAAATCTCTGACTGTACTGTTGACAGTCTAGTTGTAGTGTATTGTTGGTAATGTAGTAATGTGTTTTTGACAAGGAAGAAGAATGTGTGGAATTAAAAAGGTTAGACACCTCTGGTTCTGCTGCATCAATTTTGATATTTTTTTTATAAACTGTCAATCCTGTGTCTGACAATAGTATACGAGTGCAATGATACATTTATGGAGTACTGGAGTATTGGTGATTGTGTGAGAAAACGACCTAATTTACAATAAATGCCTACTGTTAATTGTATATAATCAAAGTTGGTTTGTAAAATAGAAACAGGACAGAATAGAGTTCACATAAAACTGACTACACATTGGTTAGATTTTGACATGGGCAGGTGGAGTTTTCTTTTTCATTTAATCAACAACAAATGCTTTATCTCTCTGTACATCTAGTCATAGTGGTCAATACATATTGAGTCTTGATCTCCTGGTTAATCGTATTTAATCTGTTTAACAACCTTTGGTCTGTTTTTGCTGCTTATCAGAACTAAATGTCTCATATTATGAACACAGTGTACTTCTTTGGTTGATGGTTTCTATATAGTCATGTAAAGTAAACCTGTGTTGACCATTAGTCACCTTTTTCTATGAACTTGGTTGATTTTTTTTTTTGGTATTGGTTTGCTAAATTAAATTTAACTTATTCGGTCATAGACAAGTTTATAATTTTTCCATCCAGCAGCTCTCATTATTAAAGATCTGAGATCTAAATTAGGTGTTGATGCTCACCCTCTCTTTGTTTTTTCACCCATCTTCTATCTTTGTAGCTAATGGCGCTTTTTGGTCTTTTTTTCATTTTAGGCAACAAGTGACAGAGATTATCTTTGTCTTGAAAGCTATCAGCACTTTGATGGACTCTCTTAAAAAGACTCAGCCCGAAAATGGTGAGTATCAAACTGTGTCAAGAATTAAATAGATCTTAGAAAGAGGTGACAAAATAAAAAAAAAAACGTAAAAAAATACAATAATGGCACTATCTATCGTCTATTCATTTCAGATAAATGTGTCAGAGTACAGTTGGGACCATTTTTCAAATGAGTTTTATCCCCAATCTGCGTAGATGTGTTTGTTTCCAGCAAGGTCAATTACAAGAAACGATTTTTTTTTAACCGCAATAGATTGAAATGAAACATTCTAAAATTACGTTTTTGAAGTGCCCTTCAAGATGTTTGCATTACAAAACTCATTTCCATACGCCTGTGGGAATTTTATCAAGGAAATGATTTCTTTGATTGCCTTCTATCACAGTTCATATTCTCTTCTTTCTCTCCCTCCCATCCCCATTCCTTCTTTTGTATTTTCTCCCTCTTTTTCTGCGATTATTTTGTTTACTGCCTGCAGTGGATGGCAACACATGGGCTCAAGTGATTGCCCTGTACCCCACGCTGGTAGAGTGCATTACGTGCTCCTCGTCTGAGGTGAGCTCGGCCCTGAAGGAGGCCCTGGGGCCCTTTAAAGACTTTATGCAGCCACCCGTCTCCAGAGTTCAGAACGGAGAATCCTGACCAGGCTCGCCCGCAGATCTTTGTTTTTATAATGAAGAAATCTTGAATGTGTCTTCTCGACCTACGTGCTTTAAAAGTGCACGGACATGAACTCCATGTGGGCCCCATCTACAGTGACATGAAGCAACCCACGGTGAACAGAGAGCCGAGGCCCACCCAGACCACGTTGATGACCCTGACCTTCATACGCATCATCGTATGCTTCTCATGTGAGCTGATAACGCCTCTCTGCTCCCCCCCCCCCGCCTTCCTCGCGATTCTCATACGGACTGACTGCACTCTTGTGTTAACTACAGAGATTTAAAAAAAATAATAATAATTCCAGTGTTGCCTCTGGGTTTAGTTTGTTCATTCTCCTTCCGAGGCCGAATCGATGTACAGTGTGTGGTGATAGTGATGATGTAATTAAGAAAAAAATGCAAAAACTGGGGCTTTATTGATCTTAAAAATAAACACTTAGACTTTTGCAACATTTTCAGCAGTGAGGATTTTATGCAAGAAAACAAATCTTACTGTAACATTCCATGTCATCTTTAGCCAGCCATCTGAGAAGGGATGTACTTGTCTGTATAAAATAAATGGGACAATTCTACAATCAGCTCTGTGCTGTGAGTGTGCTCAGTGACAATGCATGTTAAGTTCTATATATATATATATATATACCACGAGTAAATCATTAAAGAAATCTGTTTAATATCAATGTGACATCCCTGATGAGAATGACTCAAGTGAACAGGTTCTTTGGAGTTTATATTGATATTTTTTTATCAGCAAGGATGTCCTTGCAACATTCCCTTTTATTTAAAAACAATATTTGTAGCGTCCCTATATACAAAGTAGCATTAGAATTATTTCAGTGTTATATGGGGCAATGTCACCATCATAAACCTAAACGTATTACAGTTCATAAATGTGGTCCTGGTTCAAATTTGGTGTGATTCGCTAACAAATAATTATTGAAAAGCATTTCTTTATTTTGCATTCCTTTCATCTTTATGTTTTTCTCATGATTTTTTTGTGTGTATTCGGGGTCCTCTGCCATTTTTATTGAAGAAAGGACCTTACAAGTAGTAGTTTCTTATAGACCCATGTTCCATGCTGGAAATACAAACTCTGGAGTTTAAAATGCAAAACCTCAGAAACACAAACCAAAGGGGAAAAGAAATGCTGCTATAACACTCCATGCCAGCAGGAGGTGCAAGTATTTAAATTGCAGCGATTTGTTTTTCCTGTAGGTGGCGACATTTAAATGTCTACTTCCCCTGATCGGAATCTGCTGCCTTCTTGTCCTATAGGTCACTTGGCCAGTGTAAAACTGTAGACACTGATAATATGGACTGTAAGCAGCATTTGTTAAAGCATCTGCGATTAAATTTTTACTCGTGTGTAACATTTAGGAGGATC